ATATCTCTGCAATGTTTATATTATGTGAAAAAAGAAAAAATACGAGTCGAATATTTTTTGATTATCTACTTGACCAAACGAAGAAAAAAAAATAGTCATCGTCCCTATTGGTCGTTAGTTATTCGGGTGCACGAAAGACATTACTCGAATTGGAGCACCCGAAGCTTTACACAGAAATACGAGCTGGAAGACTGTGTCGGGTAAACAAAAGGAAATCTACTCGAATTCGGGCGTACTGTACCCCTAGCACGAACCAATATCGAATTCGTATCGTTTGCGAGTCCGAAATGTCATTGTCGAATGTGTACAGATTCTTAGTTCGGTATGGCGCTAATTTTCAAGTTTTCGTACAAAATTTGACAATGGAAATTTCGGACTCGCAAACTATTCGATTTCGATATTGGTTCTTGCTAGGGGTACTGTACCCCTATAATACCCCTGTAGAATTCGAATAGTTTGCACACCGAAATGTCAATGTCAAATTTTGTATGGAAACTTGAACAGCAGCGGCACAAAGTACGTAACGAGCACTAAAAATCAGTACACATTTGACAATGACATTTCGGACTCGCTAACTATACGAATTCGATATTGGTTCGTGCTATGGGTACTGGACTCCGTTCATTTACACTTAGTCGTTTACCTGAATTCCATTGGCACTCGTATTTGGGGCAAAGACCAAGTGAATTCGGGCCAATATTTTTATCATTAAAATGGGTAATACTCAAACCCCCTTATTAATAAACATGTCACTCTATTGCCATTTGTCATTCAATGAACTGACAATTCATTGAACAATTGAGGAGCTCGATGGCGCAACTGGTTAGCGCGTTCCGCTGCGATCGTTGAAGTTAAGCAACTTTCGCAGTGGTCGGTCACTAGATGGGTGACCAAAAATTTACTATCTCGAGCTTCTCCGTGCTTAGGAAGGCACGTTAAGCCGTTGGCCCCGGCTGCATCTGCAGTCGTTAGCACCCACCAATCCGCACTGGGCCCGCGTGGTGGGGCATGGCCCAATCTCCCTATTTCATCCATAGGGAAGGCCTGTGCCCCAGCAGTGGGGGCATAAAGAGGCTGATGATGATGATGATGATTCAATGAACAGGGGGGGGGGGGTCTTTCGCCTCACGGAAATGCTTTGGAAAACGCTAACGCTTACGATTTCGTTTTGTAGCCGCCTGAGGTTTTCAAATGCCTCGCGATCTTTTTTTTCTTTTGCATTGGTAATAAGAATATTAAAAAAAAATGAGCGTGAGGTATTTGAAAACCTTTGACGGTCAGAATTAACAAAATAAAATCGAAAGCGTTAGCGTTTTCCAAAGCGTTTCCGTTAGTCGAATAGCCCCCAGAGTTGAGAAACAGAATTAATATTTACATAGGGAAACTATAAAAGCAGAGGAAATCGCAAACACCAGAGTCACAGTCGTATTTATGTTTCTTGTTTAAAAAACTTGTTTCTATAAATACCAAATTATATACGAATTTAAACCGCGTGTAAACTAAATATACGAGAAGTAGAAACTCAATAGGTTATTCGACAGTAAGAAAAATAATGTACTAATTGTTGGCAACTGTGTTTAATATGAATAAATAAGTTTTATATATATCTAAATATATATAAAACTCAAAGGTGACTGACTGACATAGTGATCTATCAACGCACAGCCCAAACCACTGGACGGATCGGGCTGAAATTTAGCATGCAGGTAGATGTTATGACGTAGGCATCCGCTAAGAAAGGATTTTGATCAATTCTACCCCGAAGCGAAGCGAGGGCGGGCCACTAGTCATTAAATAGAAATTATTTTTTGCTCCACGGTCACGTGACGGAAAACACCTGGGATTGGCCAAGACTGAAATGACGTCACGCGCTAGTAAACTTTCGGCAAGTTGATATCACACTGTATCTTTTGACGTTTAATGACAGTCGTGTGACGTCACATACTAGTAAGACGCCATAATGTCCAGAGAGAAGTTTTCCCGGCAGTTTGAAAATTGAATTGCTTATACAGTTTTTTTTTACTGAATTACGCAACAGAATGATGAATATTTTTATGAACTATACAAATATTACTTAATAACGTGAGATCATTTTCTGTATCTTGTCAAATACATAAGAATTTGTACTTGCTTCATTACATAAGAGCTATACTACTCAAACATACAACATGAATGCGTACTTGAGTATAATGAATAGCGATCGTCGAATCAAGTGTCGTTAACTCCTCGATTACGACTCGCTCACATACATATAAATACCAAACAAAACAAACTGTAACAGCGAACAAGAACATTACATCACTCTCTGAAATGGATTAAACTTGTATAATTCAACTGTTTAAATAGCACTGACTCAATAGAAAAAATTAAGCAGGTATTTAATGATTCCTTTATCCGCGCAAACTATTATCTATAATAAATCTATATATATATATATATATATATATATATATATATATATATATATATATAAAACTCAAAGGTGACTGACTGACATAGTGATCTATCAACGCACAGCCCAACAAACCACTGGACGGATCGGGCTGAAATTTGGCATGCAGGTAGATGTTATAACGTAGGCATCCGCTAAAAAAGGATTTTGATCAATTCTACCCCCAAGGGGATAAAATAGGGAATGAAAGTATGTATGAAACTTTGTCAATTTTAAACCGATCGGGCTGAGACTTTGCATGCAGGTATAAGAAGAATCATAGATGAATGTCATTGCGTATAATACAAGCCTGAGAACAAAAACTGTAGTCTACACTTCAGCTCTACACCGAAGCGAAGCCAGGGCGGGCCGCTAGTCTAGCTATGAAGCTAGTCTGTAAGTATATTTTTTACATAATAAGTACTTTAAGAACATAATGTTTTTAAAACCTTTCTTAAAATTTCGTATGCATCATTTGATATTATATTTTAAATTTTTATTTTTTAGTAAAATAAATTATATTTATCCAACAATGCTAAAAAAGTTATTGTTTTCAAAGTTATAACAGCGCAATACGTTAAGATTACACTTGCAACGAATATTCGGTTACTATTCGATATTCGGACTATTCGGCTGCTTTTATTATATTCGGCAGACTACCGAATACTTAAAAAATATATTTTATCATAGAGAAATAATTGGTAAAATGAAAAATTAAAATCGATTGATTACGTATGTATTCATGTTTTCATTTCTGTTAATAATCATTTAAGTAGTCATTGTTACATAAACACAGGTACATAATCATCTTCTGAATTGGAAAAATGGAGGATTCTATATATTTGAATTATTGTGGTAATCATCATTTAGAAGTGAAAGGTTCTCATTTCTTTTATAATCATTTATTAAGTAGTCATTGGTACATAAAACAGGTACATAATTAAATCATTTTCTGTATTAAAAAAGTTAACAGTTTTTAATTCATTCAGTCATGTGATGAATGGTTACAGAACAGCAATAACTTAAAGTTTACGCGCCGTTTTTGGCCATAACTCAAAAGTTGTTTTTGTCATTTAGCCGCATTTTAGCTTGCGGACGGCAGATAAGAACCAAACAAAGGAGCGCGAAACAATCACGTTTGTACAAGTGTATGGCGCTAAAATCCAGCCGAATTCTTTTGCCTAATATTCGGCTATTCGGTCAGGGGCCTCGCCGAAATATTCGGTATACTGCCGAATAGACTATTCGTTGCAAGTCTAGTTAAGATACATATAGCCATTAAAGAGCAATCAACAATCGAAATATCCTGTCCACAAACGGTTAGATCGTATCATTTTAGGTGACCATGCTAGGGGGGAGAATTAGCTATTTGCACGAGACGACGTCAGTAATTTGATAGGCCATGGCGGAATGGCAACTATGCTGGTTTAATATTTAATGTTTCTTCACTGGTATCGTAAGTGAGGGTTACTTTAGCTCGGGCGGGTAACTTTGTCCCAAATCAAAAAAAAATATTGAACTTGCCGCCACATCAGTATCTCTCGGGTGACCGTGATAGTTCCAATTGAAAATCACAGAAAGCCATATAGGCGCGTAGTGTGGTGCTGTTTTACCGACATCGTTCCTGTATCAAGTTGCCATTGTAACGCGAGATTTTTTGTAACTGAGATTTTCGGTAAGTTTACTATATTTTCTAAATTTAAGGTCAACTTTGACCCAAAATAAAAAATATATATTAACCCTTAAATATTATTTTTTCCTATTTTCGTATGATAACTTTGTAACTTATACTTTAAAGTCCACAATGGAGAGATATAAACGTGACATATTCATCACAAAGAGAAGCTACAATTTTATTTGAAAGTAAAAGTGCACGTTTTAGGTCAAAGTAACCCGCAGTTACTCGGTATTGAGTTTCAGTTAATATAAATGAACTGGGGCAAACATTTAGAACGCAGTCATACACAATTAATATACAAAGAACTTGTGCAGTAGACATTGTTATACATAAGAACTTCAGGCTGAATATTCCACACAAATTTTACTATTCTTGCTTTTACTACACTTTGAAACTTACAGGCTTATATACCACACTAGCGGCCCGCCCTGGCTTCGCTTCGGTGTAGAGCTGAAGTGTAGACTACAGTTATTGTTCTCAGGCTTGTATTATACACAAAGACATTAATCTACGATTCTTCTTATACCTGCATGCAAAGTCTCAGCCCGATCGGTTTAAAATTGACAAAGTTTCATACAAAGTTTCATTCCCTATTTTATCCCCTTGGGGGTAGAATTGATCAAAATCCTTTTTTAGCGGATGCCTACGTCATAACATCTACCTGCATGCCAAATTTCAGCCCGATCCGTCCAGTGGTTTGTTGGGCTGTGCGTTGATAGATCACTATGTCAGTCAGTCACCTTTGAGTTTTATATATATAGATTTTCACAAAATTTACTTTGCTTTTTTTTCGAATCTCCGATCTGGTCTACAGACATACCCCCATTATCACCACAGCCCAATATCTGCGACACAGGGAGCCTGCGCCTTCTCCGTATTAGTAGTACTGACCTGTCCAGTAGGATTGCCAGGATTGATGACCACGATGGCGCGGACAGCATGCGTAGAAGCCGCTTCCTTTAGTGCCCGCTCCAACTCTTCAGTCTGCAGCGCCCAGCCTTGACCCTCGTCCAGGTAGTAGCCGATCTGACCCAGCCCGTACTCAGCGAGAGACGCAGAGTATAGCGGGTATTGAGGGATAGGGATCAGCACGCCTGAAAGAGACAACTTCTTTAACATACCATGTCACCTCCAGCTAAACTATGTCACCCTGGTACTGGCGCCATACATAATATAGTCATTACCACCATCAACCTATTAATGTACCCACTGCTGGGGCACAGGCTTTAGATGGAATTTGACATTTTGGCGAAGAGATGGCGCTGCCTTGCAGCCTAAGAAATACTAGAGAAAATTGGGTGCGGTCATCAGGGTCGCGGTAGCATAATGGTCAGTGCATTCGCCCGGATATCGAAGGGTGCGGTGCGGTTCAACTCAACTCAACTCAAACCCATTTATTCAGTCTAGGCTGTTACAAGCTCTTGTGAAAGTCAAACGCTACGCCATCGGTTTGTAAATCTACGGCGGGAGACCTTGTACTGAGAAGAACCGGCAAGAAACTCAGCAAGGGCTATTTTTTTCTCCCTGTATTGTTTCATATAGAGTCGTCAATTGAAAGATGACATCAAAAATTTAAAACATGTGTTGATGTCAACTTTCATCACATTAATATTATTAATTAATAAAAGTTAAGTATAGCTTAACTATACTAAATTACTACTACTATTTTTAAATTAATAAGTGGCGATTAAACAATTTTCAACCAAATCAGCAAAGTAAAATAACTTAGTCTTTATATTATATAGTTCGTGTCCGATCTGCCGCCTGGTTCGCGTGGAATTTTTTCTAGTAAAATTCTCTTTGTGTGTTTAATTTAGTGTGAGGTAACGGCGCAAGTGCAATATTTTTTTTGTATAAAACAATACATCGCAAAAAGCTATTACGTAAGGATGTGCACGAGTGCCCCACGTAAGTGACGCAACGTGTGTTCTGATGTGTGATTTGACTAGTAATTTGCCACTCAGCCACTCGTTTCGAGCTGTCGTCTGTCTATTATTATTTAATTAGTTGTCGTTTGGGAGTCACACAGCCAAAGGTGTTTCACACGCCATTTAGAAGCATAAAAAGCATTTTCATGTCGCCTCTAATATTTATACAAAAATAAAATTAAGGTAAAAAGAGCCTTTTTAAAAACAAGCTTTTATTCAAATGCGCTAAAAAGAAAAAAAGAAAATTTAGTTAAAGCTTGTTTCTAAATAGATTTTCAAATTTTAGAAGTCCGCCATATTGGATTGAGAGTGACGTCACATTTTTTCGAGTTACTCTCAGCAAGCCCTTTAATTTGATACCCATATTGTAGGAATGCATTAAAAATGATTGGTCCGCCATTTTGGGTATGCCGTCATATTGGATTTAGAATGACGTCACACTGTTAATCATGCATTGTCATCCGAACTGAACGAGCATACCAAATTTCAGCTTAATCGGTTGAGGGCAAGTGCTTTAAAATTGAGTTGTAAGATTTGACCGTAACAAACATACATAGCAAGTTAAATAAAAGCTTGTAAAAATAAGAGATTGGACTATGAAAATTTGGGATGATAGAAAACATAGTATTTGTGTAGTTCCAGCAAATCTAGTGAAGCGAGTGCAAGCCACTTTGACTAAATTTATAATTTAGATTTTCGATGCAAAGTTTCAGTTAATATTTCAACCTATTCAAATTTTATTACCGCAACAAAAAGGCTACCTTTTTTTGTAGCACTAGCGGCCCGCCCTCGCTTCGCTTCGGTGTAGAGTTGAAGTGTAGACTATAGTCTTTGTTCCCAGGCTTGTATTATACACAATGACATTCATCTATGATTCTTCTTATACCTGCATGCAAAGTCTCAGCCCGATCGGTTTAAAATTGACAAAGTTTCATACAAACTTTCATTCCCTATTTTATCCCCTTGGGGGTAGAATTGATCAAAATCCTTTCTTAGCGGATGCCTACGTCATAACATCTACCTGCATGCTAAATTTCAGCCCGATCCGTCCAGTGGTTTGGGCTGTGCGTTGATAGATCACTATGTCACCCAGTCACCTTTGAGTTTTATAGATATAGGTTTTGCAAACTTTAATCAATGCATTCTTCTGTAAGCACGAATAGATTAGGAGTTCTATAGGTATACATATAATTATGTTTTAACGGCTTAACAAAACTTGTTCCAGTCCCGCGCGGGTAGCCACAGCGGACGCGCGTGTTACTCTGCTTGTGCTCGGTGTCGTGCCGCGTGCCTATTTTATACGCGTAAAATAAATATTGACGTAATAATATAACGTAATTAGGGCAACTCCTGGTAACAGGAGACCCTAAAAAATGTATTCAACCTCAACGTCTCAATCTACCCCACTGTCTCAATCGAATCTAAAATCCCAAATAAAACCGACTGCTTCAAGTTATGCAAATGTAACGTCATCGACTTGTTTTCCCAAGAAAGACCAAGCCATCGTACTGGACTCGATCGACGGAATAACACTCAGGGAGTACCTCATTGCCTTAACATCTGTTTTACCTGCGACGGCGATCCGATTTATATCACGTATTTCGAATGCACGTATTTGTATTTATCTAGACACTAAAAAATCTGCAGATAATTTACTAGAAGAAAATAAGAAAATTAAGATCAAAGAACATACCTTGGAAATAAAACCATTAATAACTAGAAATAAAAGAATTGTTTTATCTAATGTTTGCCCAGTTATACCTAATTATATTATTGAACAGAAATTTCAAGAGTTAAATATTCAAATAATGTCCCCTATTACATTCATGAAAATAGGGGCGACTGATCCGGGATTTTCCCACATATTGAGTTTTAGAAGACAATTATATATACGTCCAGAAGATGAAACACGGCTCCCAGAATCATTCCAGTTAAATTTTGAAGATACGAACTATTGGATTTATGTTACCACTGACGCTTTGAAATGTTTTACATGTAATAATGTGGGTCATTTATCAAAAAATTGTTCGCAAATCATTAATAATTCTCAACCCTATTCTCAAGAATCTGATAGACAAACGGCCCAAGAAATCAATAACGTCTTTGAAAGAAATGATGATCGCTTACCAGAATCAGTTTTTACTGCACCTTCTGCAGTATCCCAAAAAGAAGATTTTCCTCTACCACGGATAAATACGAAGGGAAAAAAACGGATCCATTCTCCTACGAGCAGTGAAATGTCAAAAGTTGAAATTATAAAACCACAAAAATAGATGATACAATTAATAATGAAACTGATGAAACCAGCAGTAATATTTCACAAGATGATGAAGAAACCAACACTAAGATAAAGAAAAAAATAAAGAAGACAGACACTAGGACAGAGGAAGAAATTTGGAAAAATATAGAAGAAAGCATGACAGAATTAAGTAATGAGACTACATTTCCTATTAGCTTAGACCAATTTATTAGTTTATTAGATAACACACGGGGAAAACAAAATGTAAAAGAAGTAGTATATTCATATACGGACAATGTAAGAGACCTCATTAAAATGTGTAATATATTACATAGTAAAATGAACAAAAGCTTAAAAAATAGATGTTCACGCTTATCTAGAAAATTACACGAAATGTTAAACCCTGATTCGATCATTTCATCAGATAATGATAAATAAGTGTTCCTTTTTGTTAAAGTTATTATTTAAAAAACATATTTGTTATTTAATATTATATACACATGGATATATTGCAATGGAATGTAAATGGTTACTTTAAGAGACTAGAAAATATAAAACTTCTAACAAACAGATTATGTCCCACTTGCATCTGTTTACAGGAAACTAATTTTGCGTCTAACTATTGTGCTGATATGGTAGGTTATGAACAATTTTATAAAAATAGATTACATAGTAATAGAGCTAGTGGTGGAGTAGCTACATTTATTAAATCACATACAATACCCGAACAAATACAAGTAAATACTAATCTGGAAGCAGTAGTGATTAAAATAAAATATCCCTTAGCCATTACCATTTGCAATATTTACCTTCCTAATAGTAATCCACTCAATATAAATGAACTAAAAAATTTAATCAATCAACTTCCAATACCGTCTATCATTTTAGGTGACTTTAACAGCCACCATTTTTATTGGGGTTCAGAAAAATGTGATACTAGGGGTAATATCATAGCTGAATGGCTCGATGAAAATAATAATATTATGCTATTGAACAATGGCCAACCCACACATTTTGATAGCAATACCGGGCGTACAAGCATTATAGATCTAACTTTGGCTTCACAAAATATAACAGCATATTTTGAATGGAATGTCTTAGATGATTTATATGATAGTGACCATTTCCCCATATCAATAGTATCAAACTTTTCAAATGATTTACCAAAAAATATAACATTACCGCAAAAATGGAAATTTGATAAAGCTAACTGGTTAATGTTTAAAGAAGAATTCGAACTTTATTCTTCCAACTTAATACCAATTAATACCATGTCTGATTACCCGATTGATGTAATTGTAAGTAAATTCACGGAAGTTATACTTAACGCAGCTAACAAAGCGATTCCCAAAACAACCGGTATATTAAGAAAAAATATTTTGCCTTGGTGGAATGACGAATGTAAAATGGCCATGAAAGAAACTAAAAAAGCATTAAAATTATTTAGAAAACATGCAAGAAATGATCCAAATTCGGTTTACAAAATAGAATATAAGAAAAAGCGAGCATTATTTAGAAGACTTCTTAAAGAAAGTAGAAAACAATATTGGCGAAATTGGGTATCTTGTATTACTAACCAAACTCAAACCGGAGATATGTGGAAAAAGATCCAAAAACTTAATCACCGAACAACGAAATTCAACAATATTGTACTAGAAAAGTTAGATGGAACATATACGTCAGACGCTACTGAAATCGCCAACCTTCTAGCAGACACCTTTGCAAACAATTCTAACACAAAAAATTATGATCAACAATTCATAGATTATAAAACAAATCAGGAAACAAATTCTAATTTCGATTTTAATGATAATTCTAATACAATCAACAAAGAAATTTACATGCATGAATTGCTACTGGTTCTTTCTGGATTAGGTAATTCAAGTCCAGGTCCAGACAATATACCAAATATCATTATTAAACACTT